CGTATTGCATGTAAAGAACCTGTGACCCAAAGCAAAGACTAGAACCCTTAACTTCCCATGTAGTTTTTTTCCCCCCATAACACCATGCTGCCTTCCCTTCAGATTATCAGCCAACCAGAAGCTGAGTTACTTAAAAACTACATATTTCTTGGGGCACTCCTCTAATGGTATATGAACGCCAAGTTTATTGCTTTGAAAGATAATTGCCTTCTTTGCCTAGTCCAACTGCCAGTTCTGTTGGAGAAAAGCAAGTTATATGTTCTCAAAACAAGGCTTTCAGTTCATGAGCATAATTTATTGTATCTGTGGTTCTGGTGTCCGTATTGCCTTTGATTCACAGCAGACAAACTTGGCCAACAGTGTGCTCTAAATGTAGTGCTTGTGCTGGGCTAACCTTTCCATCAATTTCTTCACCTCCGTTTCCTCCAGCCCCATACAGTCGTGGTAGTGAGGCCTTTATCAGTTAGTGTTGCTGCTTCCCAGGCTTCTCCCAGGAGGTATTAGTTCAGTCTTAAAGATACTTCAATGTGAAAGAAAGAACTAAACTATCAGGCTACTTTCACAAACCTCCTCTTAGCTTATAATTAAAAATACTATCCTAAATGGTAGATTGCATTTAGCATTTCCAAGCTCATACTGGAAAATACAGATTATACTACCGTGTGTTTTGTATCTTCCCTTGCAAGTGATGATATTAAACTAAGGTAAGTTTTTTGTCCTTTTAATTTTTTATATAAATTATTTCCGCTCCCTCTAATTTATAAAGTTGATGTCTTCTTTTAAGTACAATAGAACCTTGTGTGTAACAGATTTGATATGGATTCATTTATTCATAAGCAACTCCAAAAATCCAAAGGTGGAGTCATTTTGACAAGGCAGAGTCGAGATGCTGTGAAGCTGACAGGTGGGAAAAGTCAACTTAGCGAGAGTCTGGAGAGGGTGTGTGTGTATGGCGAGAGATTCCCCATTTCCCGGGTGCTGGGCTGCAAAGAGCAGGTTTGGGTCAACCATTTCCCATCTGTTTTTAAGAAGTGGTAGGGGCCAGGGGACATCATGGGAGATGGGGTTGGCCTGTTAGCTGTGCCCTGCACCCTCATCCCAGGAAAGACTTAAAGAGGTAGAGAAGTGCAAAGGCTTCATGAATGACAGAATAATTTGGGTAGGAAAGGGGCTGGGATAGGTCCAGCCTGAGGTGAGAGCAGAGAAACATTCAAGATTTGGGGGCCTTGGTACAGATAGGCTGAATCGCCGTGGAAGCCAGCAATACAATACACATCTCAACATGACTTTGACGTTCTCTATTTTCTGGCTTTTCTTATAAATGTCCTAAAATTTTTCAGTTTTCTTTTTTATAGAGAAAATGCTCTTAATGATGGTATCAAGCACTTGAGGTTTATGAAGACATTAGGACAGGTATCTCAGGAATGTAAAGGGTCAGAGAAGGTCTGTTTTCTCTGATAAACAAATCGGATGGGTTTCATGGCTGACCCTTGGTGCTTAAACCAGGAGGTTCCAATCTAGTTTTAGAGTTCTGTCCCTCCGAAAGGTCCAACTCGATGTAATAACGAACTGGATGTATACTTTGAGCCTTATTTAATTCACAAAGAGGTTGACTTGCCTCTGTATTTTTATTTCAACAAATGAAAATAGCCCTCTTTTCACCTCCAGATTGCTTACATATTGCTGGTCTCCCCAAGTGACCATTGGTGGGGACCAATTAATGAAGGAATGAAATTCACTTTCTTGGGACTGTGCTATTCTGCAGAGCCAAGCTTAACCACTTTTTCTAGTGAAGAATCTACAGAGTGTTAATACCTAAGTATGGATGGCCAAGAATTTATACCTACAGTGTGCATTATGTATTTTTGACACTGCTGTATTCTGTGTGATCGAGTGACTTGTAACTGGTTCCAATGTGAGTGTTCTCAAAGAATCCTAGTAATTAAGTTGACTTAATTTTCTTAAGCCTTGTGTTACTCTTAGTCTCACATTTACCACTTTGATTCCAGTCTTTTAACTGTTCATAACAGGGCATACCAAGGGTTGGGATAAGAGCCTACTTCCTACCTCTTAAGGCACTTCCCTCATTATTTTTCCATGTAACCTTGAAGTGCATGATAAGCTGTTTAAATGTCCACGACTTCTCCCAGAGCAACTAGCAAAGTATATGACATTGAATAGAGATTAGTGGAAAGGAAAGTTTAGAAACTAAGTTCAGAGGTGCAAACCTCAAGAAAACCTCTTTAGAGCACATACCATTTGAGTACCATATATGTAAATGTATGTGAGAAGAGAGTTACTGTAATAGTCTAAGTAGATTAGTTCATTATCTAATGGAAGTGGAAATCTTTACTCCTATTATCACTGTAGTACTGAATGAACTGTATACTGAGTTTTTCAAACAAGTATTTAAAGTAGAACTTAAATACCAAGCAAGGGCATAAGGATAAAGGTTTGGGTTTGTGTTCCTCTTAAGTGTAGTGTTCCATCTAAAGCTTTGTGTTGTTTTTTTTTTAATCGAAAAATGCTTCAAGGTATTGCCATTTCTTAGCATCCTTAATAATTATGGGTGATGAGTTTTTAATTCTTAAATTTGTGTATGTGTATTAGGTTTATCTTAAATGTTACCCTACGCAGAAGGGAAAGTATACACCTAAGGGATGTAATTATTTTGCATTTTGGGGTGGGAATGGGGTGGGCATCTACTTAGATAGTTTTTAAAAAAAATCACAAGTATTTTTCTACTATTATATATCATCTTACTTTCTACTAGTTTCTCTCTAGTAAGGCATGCCAGAAGCCCAAGGTACCATATCATGAGTTCATATGTATTGTACCTTTTATTGGTGGTTAAATTGTATCAGATGCTTGGCACTGCTGCCGTAATTATGAAATGCTTGTAAAGGATTAAATATCACTGAATAAATTGTTTTACTTAGGAGTCTAATCTGGGGAAGTTTTCAAATCATACTATTAATGTGTAATCTAAGCTCTTTCAGATGTATCCATGAATAATCCTGGAACAATATTGCTTGTATTCCTGTCACAGAACAGGTTTTGTAATCTTTAAAAGAAATGAAAATTTATATAATAAAGTTTCAAATAAATGCATGTATGTTCCTTTATCAGGTTATTGCAATTACATGATTAATCCTTCATGTTATCAAGTTATTCTATCCAAGGTATAAATTTATCAAATTGGATTGGTAAAACAGGAATGTCTCTGAGTTAATAAGAAGTACGAACTAATTTTTCTATGCAAAGTTTTCGTTAGCCTAAAGAGTTTATCATCACTTATGGCTTGTCTCAGTTTCGGTTCTTACAAGGGTATTTCTTGGATCACATGATCTCACACATCTAGAGGAAATAATGAACAACATAAACTGATGAACAAAAACAGACCCAGAGAAAGAGAAGCAGTGATCAGACTGTCAAACCTTAGAGGAAAGGTATGGGAGGGTGGGGGTAACAGGGAGAGATCAACCAAAGGTCTTGTGTGCATGCATATGGGCCTAACCAGTGGTCACGGGCAACAGGGGGGTGGGGGCATACGTGGGGAGGGGTTTGGGATGGGAATGGGGGGGATGAAGACAATTATGTGATACTATAATCAAGAAAATGAAAAACAAGTTGCACTGCAAAAAAAAAGTGTCAAATCAGACTTGCATCAGTCATAGATCTTACCCAATACCAAACTTGATTAATCATTCAAAGGAAACAGGGTAATATCCAGGCACGGATGAGATTCTTAGAGATGTCCAAGATTATCAGATTTAATTCCAAAACAACCTTTTTCTCCATAATGGCACATTTTATATTGATTTAGAATTAAAGAACAAGTTTTCTTCTGTGTGATGCATGTGGAGACGTTTAAACAATGGGAGTCATTTGGTTTTGCAACACCTTTTTATGCCTCATTAATTACACAATTTAAATGATGAGTCCTCATTTTCCATCCAACCGTGCCTCATAACTCCATAAATTACAACTTTTATAAGAAGCTCTCTCTATAGACCAAGTGTATCTTGCTGAAAGCATTTTAGAGATGAGGACTTTTAGTTTTCCTTCTATTAAATGTAATTACCGCATTTAAAAGGAAATTTGAGATCATTGACTGCTGGTAGAGAGGGAATGGGTTATAGGCCTGCAGTTATCCCTTTCCTTCTCAGTAGACATTTGTAGTAGTTTTATATTATGATAGCATATTAATTTGCTAGGGCTGCCATAACAAAATACCACAGACTGGCAGAAATTTATTTTGTCACACTTCTGGAGCCTCGTTCAAGATCAAGGGTCCAGCACCCTAACTCCAAACAAAGTCAGAATCTGAGGTGTTAGGGGTTAGGGATTCAACATGAATTTGGGGAGTGCACAATTTAGTCCATAACACTGAATTTAGGTCTTCCCTCCCTCCCTTTTTTCCTTGCTGAGCACCTGCTGTACTATGTGCCAGACATTCTGCTAAGTTCTGGTAATGGTAAAGCAACAGATGTGGTTTACAGTGAGGTAGGGAAGACATTTATAAAGTGAAAATGCCATGCAGATATTATGCTTTGGTAATGGGGATGGCAGGAAAGCATTGCCCATTCTTTCAGCCTCCCAACCTGTTGGTCGGGTGAAAGATACCTTAATCAATAAAGAAATAAATAAATAAAAAATAAATAAAAATCACTGAAAACATATTTTAAAAAATTAAAATTTAAATTAAAAAAACGTGAGAATACAGTTGGTGAGTCAGCTGCTCAAACCTGAGAGGCTGGTTTGTCTCAAAGCAGCACAAGTCTGTTGTCAGCCAGCAGGTGACGCTACCTGAACCAGCCCTTGACTAGGAAGCCTGGCCCTTCCCATCTCCCTGACTCCGCCTCCTCCATGCCCATGACCCCGCCCCCTACGTATTCCGCGAACACTCCCCGAAGGCGCTGCTTTAACAATAGGGGCGGGGTCAGACTGCCACGCCTGCGCAATAGAGACAGGGGGCGGGCCCAGGCGGCGTTGGAGGCGGAGAAAAGCAACGCAAGCTGATGCGACGCCATTTGCTGCCCGCCGTGCGTGTGTAAAGCTGATCTCAGAAGAGCTCGGTCTCGGGACTCGTCCGCACACGCGACTGGCCTCTCGCGCCCGCTTGGTACCGCGGGGCTCCACGCGTCACCCCCCGCGCCCCTCGGAGGAATCGCCGCCGCCGCCGCCGCCGCCGCCGCCCGAGTAAGAGTCCGAGTCGCCGCGCGGCCTCTGCTCCCGCCATGCCCAAGAATAAAGGTAAGGCTGCCGGACCCCAGGACCACGACTCCCCTCTGCCGGCTCTCCCGGCTCTCCTTGCGGCTTCCGGGCTATCCCGGGCCGCAGTGACCTTCCTCTCCGCCCGGCCTGCGGATAGCTGGGCCATCGGGACGCCGGCCCGGGCTGGGGAGAGGAGCTGGGAAGTTACTCCTGCCTCCTTCCACTTTGGTCACATTGGGGTGGAGCCGACGCCATTTTTGTAGGGCCTCCTGCGGGAGAATGTGGGTTTTGGCCCTGATTGGCGCCACAGTGACCTCGGCGTGGTGGGGGCCCACGGGGTGACCTCCCCTGGGGCGGCGTGGGGTTCGCCAATGGGCGCTTTGGGCCGCCCTGGGCAAGGGGAGTTAACCCCTGGACGCAGTTCTTAACTTTTAGAGGATGATGCTTGCTTTAGTGACCATCAGGTACCTCTACATGGGCTTCTTTATGGACAGAAGTTGGATATAGTTGAGACTACTCCTCTCTTGTAAACAGTGGATGCAATTTTGAGGTTCATCTCTAGAGATAATACCCTTCCCCATCCCTTTACGGAGTTTAACACCCCTCCCCCATACTCGTTCCATATTTAGCCAAGTTTTCTAGTTTTGTTTCAGATTTTATATATATATACACACATACATACATATATGTGTGTATATGTATATATACATACATGTATGTGTATATATACATATATATATATATATAGTACAGTGCTGGAAGTGAAGACCTTTAAGTTCCCTCCATTCTGAAATTAAACATTCACAAGTTACCAGACTTGAGGATGAGTTTGTTTGGAGTTTCCAAAAGGAAAAGCCCAGTCTAGGTAAACGCAGAACAGTCCTAAAGAAAATCTCCCTTTTTTAGACTTAAGAGTGTTTCTCCTTTTTGAGCATCCTTCTAATTTCTCAAAGGAAGCTGTTCAAGTAGAAACTGGGAACACTGTATTTCTGACAAGAGGAGCTTAGTTCAAACCCCAAAAGAAGTTTCCTTCGGTTATTCATCCGGAGACCCCCTGCCCTGATTTGGCCTAATTCTGTTTTTTTCTACTTCTCAGCTGGCTACAGCTTTTCCACCTCCTTTCCTCTGTAGCTGTCCCCTCTCCTTTCATCCCTGGGAATACTTGGTGGCAGTTTCCGCAGGGCAAGCTACCTGATTGCCTTTAAAATCTACCTTGTAGGTCCTTTTTTTAAAATATATTTTTTATTGATTTTGTACAGAGAGGAAGGGAGAGAGAGAGAGTTAGAAACATCGATGAGAGAGAGTCATGGATTAGCTGCCTTTTGCACACCTCCCACTGGGGATGTGCCCGCAACCAAGGTACATGCCCTTGACCGGAATCGAACCCGGGACCCTTCAGTCCCCAAGCCGACTCTATCCATTGAGCCAAACCGGTTTCCGCTATAGGTCCTTTTTGAAGCAAGGATTTTACTGCTAGTAATTCTTGGAAAGATTGGGTGAGAAAATAGGGCTTTTTAAAAGTCACAGTTTTCCTGCAACCTATATAATCCTTTATTCCCTATGAGATGGTAACTGGATCTCTTTAATGGGTATCTTATTCTCACTTTTATTTCTAGCATGAGATTTCCAGTTCCTTCACTAGACTATAAGCTGTGAAGGGCAGTAATAGCATCTGTCTTAATAACATTGAATAGCTACCACTTGACACATATTAATAGTAGATGCTCAATAAATACTTGTTGGATTGAGTCACCTCCCTTCTGTTGAGTCCACTCTTAGGTGGATAATAGGTTACCCTTTAGTTCCAAGGATACGACTTCTGCATTCAATCACATCCAGTTCACTAGTTTCCTTCCTTTAAAGTTCAGGCCATTACATGGAAATAAGGTAGCGGGGGGGGGGGGGGGGGGGGGTGGTCAGGGTATGGCTAATTCTGATAAATTGACAAGTGATGAATCACTTCTATAAGTATCATTTTGGGCATACAAAAATTATAGATAATGCAATGGACACCTGGGAATCCATCACACCTAACTGAAGGATTATAACACATTCAGTTAAAGCCCTCTGTGTCTTGGGGGGAAGGGCTCCCACACTCTGAGGGCCTTACTACCTTTGATTTTAAAATTACCACTCCTTTAGGAATACGTGGACTATTGATTTTTTACAGAGAGAAAGGGAGGGATAGAGAGCTAGAAACATCGATGAGAGAATCATCAATCAGCTGCCTCTTGCACAACCCCTACTGGGGATGTGCCCACAACCAAGGTACATGCCCTTGACCGGAATTGAACCTGGGACCCTTGAGCCCGCAGGCCGACGCTCTATCCACTGAGCAAAACCGGTTTCGGCATATGTGGACTACTCTTGACTGATTTATCCAAAGACTTGCCAGCTCTAGTATATAACTCCGCAAACAAATCGGTATGATTGTTGTCCTAATGGAGCTTTCCCTTTAGTTTGAAGATCTGGTGTGATTAGTGGCTTGAAGCCAAAGGCACTTTTCTCTCCCGAGGGAATTAGTTTTGGTGTGCCCTAAGAAGCCCCAAATACTGAATTCTCAGGACTCTCAGTGGGTCAGGAAATGTAGAGGCCCACCTAACCATTGCCCAGAGCGCTGTGAGATTGTACCCAGGACAGGGTAAGCGCGTGTGATGATGCAGGAAGTTAAGTGTGTCCGTCTGTGGAGTGGCCAAGTGCACACTCCTTATTCCGTTTGGGTTATGAACCTTTTGCTGCTTCCACACACTTCCCATATGTCCCTTAATCTCACCACCACTTACAGCCATTCTTGGAAGTGACTGCCAATGTTGTGTAGGGTCTGAAATGGGACAAAATGCTGTGTAGAGATACCCGGATGTGGGGGGGCTAATGTTAAGTGAGTCACTTCTTTGAGCTTAGACAAACTCACTGGTAAAGGTACATGCCCTCATATTTATTACCTCATAAGGTGATTGTGACAAGTAGGTGGTTGCCTAGTGTCTGGTGACTGACATCTGAACTCTCGGGTCACGTGATGTAGCCTCGGATAAGTCACTTAGCCTTTCGAGGTCCATTCATTATCTTGCGAAATAAAGACAAAATAATACTTATCTCATAGGCATAGGCTTCTTAGGGGCGAGATAATAGAACTGGGAGTCTACTTGAAGCATAAGGGGATGGAAGTATTGAGAGAGAGGTTGGTGTCGTGTTTATAGGTTGAGAGACTTATATTCTGTAAGGTAGTTATGTTATCACTAACTGAAACAGGATGTTGAGTAAGGACCAGCTTTGTAAAAGAAAGTAAATGGGGTTTTGAATAAAATTGAGCTTGAGGGGGCAGTAACCCATTTACTATAGAAATGGTTGAGGCCAATAGAAATAGGAGATAAACGCTCAGTTGAAATAGGGGGCTGGGATGTAAAATTATTAACATTGAAGGGGAGGTGAGAGAAAGATAAATTTCCCTAGAAAGTGGGTGAGCAGAAGGAATTTGAACTGAATGAAGCTCCAAAGGAATAGGCATAATAGGGGGCGGGGGGGGGGGGGGGGGGCACTGATAAAGGTCAAGAATAGTACAAATGATCCTTCAAAAGTTGGGGAAATGAGAGTTGAGAAATGATCAGCACCGAAACCGGTTTGGCTCAGTGGTAGAGCGTCGGTCTGCGGACTGAAAGGTCCCAGGTTCGATTCCGGTCAAGGGCATGTACCTTGGTTGCGGGCACATCCTCGTTGGGGGGTGTGCAAGAGGCAGCTGGTCGATGTTTCTCTCTCATCGACGTTTCTAGCTCTCTATCCCTCTCTCCTCCTCTCTATAAAAAATCAATAAAATATATTTTAAAAAAAGAGAGAGAGAAATGATCAGCAGTGTCATTGCTTAAAGTATGAAAAACAAGGGGCCATGGAGAATGACAGATTTTTAAGGGCACCAGTAGATAGTGTGGTGTCCTAAATGAAGGTATTTGGGTCTTCAGTTCTCACTCCCACATTTTACAAGGGCTGAAAGCTCGTGTATCTTTTATTCCCGCCTCCCTCTACATCTGGCCATAATGCTCATGTTTCCATCTCAGAAATAATTCCTCTATCGATCCTCAGAATAATATTCCATCCTATGGTTGTGTCACAGTTGATCCATTTATCTACCCAAGAACATCTTGGTTATTTCCAGGTTCCTTTCCTCTTCATGACTAAGCACAGCCTGCTTCATTGTACCTGTAATAAGGGCGGTGACCTTCTGGCCAGTTTTCCCAGCCGAGGATCATGTCACACCTCTGCTTTTTGTTGAAGTATTTTTTAAATTAGTTTTTTGAATAGTAAATATATTCAAATTTCAAAATATAAAAAGTGAAATCTCTTCCTAAATGTGTCCCTTTGCCATCTAGTTCTCTTTCTCACAGGTATTGTTAGCTTTTTTGTATGTGCCCTTCCAAAGATACTTTGTGTGTATATAAAGGCAGATGTGAATATGATTTTATATCTCGATGGCGATTTTATCCTCCTCTTCACCGAGCTATATTTGTTTTTAAACTTATACTAGGACGAATTTTGAATATATGCCAAAGTTGACTTAGTATAATGAACCTTCATGTACTCATGTTCTAGCCCCAGGCACCACCAATTCCTGGCTAAAAACTTGCACCATCCACACCAAATCAAGACCCAGAGATGGGCTACCCATTGCCATTGGTTGATATATGTCTTTTAAGTCTCTTCATGGGTAGGTTCCCCATCCATGCATGTTTTCTTTTTCATAATGTATCTATTGAAGAAAACAGATTGTCTTAGGATGCAAATCCCCCCACAGTTTGGATTCTGTTGATTATGCCCTGTTGTTGTTTTAATGGACTTCATTTTTTAGAGCAGTTTTATATTTCCAGAAGAATGAGCAGGAAGTACAAAGTTCCCATATACTTTCTGCACACCAGGTTTCCTCTATAAACATCTGTGAGCCAGTCTGGATGCATTATTAACTCAGGTCCATAGCTTATAGGTTCATCATGCAGTACGTTGTATGGGTTTTGACTCATGTACAGTGACATGTGTCCACCATTACAGTAAAGGTTTCTCTGTGTCTTTGGAGGGCTCGGTAGTTATTTTTAATGCTGAACTAGAGGCTCAATGCAGGAAATTCATGTAAGAGTAGTCCCCCATGTCGTCCCCTCTTCAACACCCCCCCACACACACACACTCTGACTTCCCTCTGGTACCCTGGACACAGGCTTCCCTCCCAGCCCCTGCTTGTTGGGTTTAATTAGCATTAATGCTTTCATTCTTATAGATAATATTCCATTGTACCAGTTTATTTGTTCACCTTAGTTGCTTTCAAGGACAGGCAGTTAGCACCTTGCTTTTTAACTTCAAAATCAGCATATCCCATTCCAATAGCTATAACTAACTTTACCTTTTTTGTTTTGTTTTCTTGTGTTATCTTTTCTTTTTGTACTCATACCTTTCATTGGGGAGGGGGGAAGGGTCAGGTAAAAGAGAGACAAGGCAAAAAATACTCCAAAGGGAATTTCCAAGAAAGGGGGGGGGGGGAGTAGTGAGAATATGTATGTGTTTAATATAATTGGAGATTGTAAAATTTAATGATTGTGTGGCTAAATTTGAATTTTTTTAAGTGAGTGATTTTTTTTTAACTGTTCTGTATGCCTCAATTTCATTTAGTTTAGTTTTTTGTTTTGTTTTTTTTTTTCCTACTGTTTTGCAGATAATGTATTTTTCTTTCCTTAAAACCATTAGGTAAAGGAGGTAAAAACAGACGTAGGGGTAAGAATGAAAATGAATCCGAAAAAAGAGAATTGGTGTTCAAGGAAGATGGGCAAGGTAAGTGTTTTTCATAAGTTAACTCCTTTTAGTAATAGTTTTATTTTTCAATTATGGGATTTCAGTTTCTAAACATAAAAGAGATACTATTCATAATCCTGAGCAGTGAATGGCATGTCCCTTTTTGACCTTCTCTATTTCTTTTGCTAATCATTTTGGTTACCAATCTGCAGTGAGGATTAGCTGTGTTTCTGTAAATGTATAGGTTTATTGTGTTGTGTATCTAGGAGTGAATTATACAAGTCAGAGAGAATTAAGCCTCAAAAGTGATGGTTGACAATTCTATAATTTAGTGGGCTTTTTTTTTAATAGTAAGTGGTACTACATAGTATGTGCAGTGGACCATGGATACTTGAGGGATGCGTCTGAAGCCTTTCCTTCTCTTCTCCAGTGACATTAGCATATCCTGTATAATAAAAGGCTAATATGCTAATCGACCAAATAGCAGAACAGCCGGTTGCTAAGATGCACTCTGACCAAAAGGGGATAGACACTCAATGCAGAAGCTGCCCCCTGGTGGTCAGTGTGCTCCCACAGGGGGGCAGCACTCAGCCAGAAGCCAGGCTCACCGCTGGCTAGAGTGCCGTGGCGGGATCCTCTTCTGCCTCCATTGCAGGCGGGCAGTAAGGAGCGAGGGGCCCCAAGACTGCGGGCTGTGAAAGGGCACAGGCCAGGCTGAGGGATCCCCCCAGTGCACCAAATTTTATGCACCAAGCCTCTAGTGATTTCATTAAAAAATAATAAAATGAAGTTGAACATTTGACCTTTTCTAACCGATTAACACTTTGTGCCAGCTCAAGATATATTATAGTAGTTTCTTATATTTTTATTTTGAGTACTTTCAAACCTTTAGAGAAGTTGCAGTATTAATACAATGAACTTTTCTTAAATTGTTCTGTGTGTGTGTTTGTTTCTGGAACCATGTGAAAGTTAGTTGCAGACATAATACTTTTCCCTTATGGTACTGCTTCTTCCTGTGCCTCTTAAGAACAGGTATATTTTCTTACGTAACCACAACAGAATGCTTGGGTAACTTAATTTTAGTATGTTACGTATCTAGTATATGTTCTGTAATCAAAATTTTCCAGTTACCCCAATAATTTGCAGCACTTTTTTTTTTTTTTAATATATTTTATTGATTTTGTACAGAGAGGAAGGGAGAGAAATAGAGTTAGAAACATCGATGAGAGAGTCATCGATCAGCTGCCTCTTGCACACCCCCTACTGGGGATATGCCCGCAACCAAGGTACATGCCCTTGACCAGAATCGAACCCGGGACCCTTCAGTCCCCAAGCCGACGCTCTATCCATTGAGCCAAACTGGTCTCGGCAATTTGCAGCACTTTTTAACAAAGAAATTATTTTGATAGTCTTTTTATAGAACTTCGGTGATTTGTTCACACTATATAAAAAATGAAACACATTTTCTGGCTAAGAAAGCTTTTTTCCCTTAGCCTTAGTCATTCTAGCCCCCATTTGAAGTTGACTTGATTTTGACCACCACTACGTTTACTTTTTCATATCATATTACCCCCTCCCCCCTCCCCAGAAGAGAGGCTGCCATTTATTTATTTTTAATTTTTTATTGATTTCAAGGAGGGAGAGAAAGATAAAAACACCAATGATAGAGAATCATATTCAGCTGCCTCCTGCATGCCCTGTATTGGGGATCGAGCCCACAATCCAAGTATGTGCCCTGACCAGCAATCTAACCATGACCTCCTAGTTCATAGGTTGATGCTCAACCACTGAGCCACTCTGGCCTGGCGAAAGGCTGTCTTTAACCATCATGTTGAAGTGCTAGGTTCACTACCGTGTTTCCCCGAAAATAAGACATCCTCCGAAAATAAGACGTAGCGCATGGAAAGATAAGGCATCTCCTGAAAATAAGACCTAGCGCAACTTTGGGAGAAAAAATTAATATAAGACACTGTCTTATTTTTGGGGGAAACAGGGTACGTAATCTGGGTAACTTCCACTTGTCAACCCCACAATTAATTTTTCAGTTACATCACTGTATTTACCAATCCTATACAATAAAAAGGTAATGTGCAAATTGACCCTTATGCCCTCACACAAGATGGCCGCCCCCATGTGGTAATTGTGGATGATCAGTCCAACAAGGAGGGCAGTTAGGGGTGACCAGGCCAGCAGGGGATGACAGTTGTGGGGAGCAGGCTGGCAGGGCGGGGCAGTTGAGGGTGACCAGGCCACCAGGGGAGGGTAGTCGGGGGCAATAGGGCCAGCAAGGGAGCAGTTAAGCATCAGTCAGGCTGGCAAGGGAGTGGTTAGGGGTGGTCAGGCTGGCAGGCAGACCAGCAGTTGGGAGCTAGCAGTCCTAGATTATGACAGGGATGTCTGACTGCCATTTTAGGCCTGATGTCTGTGGGCCTAATGAATTGTAATGTAAATATCTGTGTTTTCTGATGGTCTTAGGCTCTACAGCAGCATTTCTCAACCTGTGGGTCGCAACTCGGTTGAACCGCTAGCAAGGTCACCTAAGACCATCGGAAAACACAGATTCATAACAATAGCAAAATTACAGTTATGAAGTAGCAAGGGAAAAAATTTTATTGAGGGTCACCACCACACGAGAAGCTATATTAAAGGGTTGCAGCATTAGAAAGCTTGAGAACCACTGCTCTAAATGTTCTAAGGGAAAGGAGACCCAAAATAGGCAAAGGCTTCAAGAGATTGAGGAGAGGGATAGTGTGTACATTTGGGACAAGCCACCTTGCTCTCCAAAAGTAAAGCAGTCATGGAGAAACCTTTCTGATAGCAGAGATGAGTCTTGGGCTCTGCCATTAACTAGTTTGGGGGTTGTCACTCCCTGTCATTTATTTTACTGCATGTATTTATTCCCAACTAGTACCACCTTTATGTTCTAGTGACTGTGTGTGTGTGTGTGTGTGTGTGTGTGTGTGTGAAATTACAAATTGATTCGATCATCCGCACACCAGGTGGCTGAGACTGGATGGCCCCAAGCCTGTTCTAGTCACTGTTGTTGTTGTTTTTTTTTTTAATATATTTTATTGATTTTTTACAGAGAGGAAGGGAGAGAGATAGAGAGATAGAAACGTCAATGAGAGAGAAACATCGACCAGCTGCCTCTTGCACACCCCCTACCGGGGATGTGCCCACAACCAAGGTACATGCCCTTGACCGGAATTGAACCTGGGACCTTTCAGTCCACAGACCGACGCTCTACCACTGAGCCAAACCGATTTCGGCTCTAGTCACTTTTATGTGGACTTCCAAATTGTTTTTATGAAAAGCTGAACAATATCTTATGCCTTTTTCTTTTCCCTCCCCCAGAATATGCTCAGGTAATCAAAATGTTGGGAAACGGACGCTTAGAAGCAATGTGTTTTGATGGTGTAAAGAGATTGTGTCACATCAGAGGGAAATTGAGGAAAAAGGTAGGTGTGGAGATTGGTTTTATTTAATACAAAATTGTGGTTAAGGGGAGGGGTGGAAATGTGCCTACAGTTTTTATGTTACCAAAGAGTTCAGTAGAGCAGTGATTTGCAGATTCTATTTAAAGACTCAACTTGTATCACCTATGTTGTATTCCTGCCAGAAATGTTTAACCTGAATCTAATTATGAGGAAATAATCGACAAATCCAAATTGAGGGACTCCACAAAACAAATCAGGAAAGGGAAAAAAAAAGGCAGGGGTGCTATTAAGTGTCCAGTAATGTTCACTTTCCTGAATTGTGATGTAGAATGGGCTGCCTTGGAAAGTAAAGACTGATATTCTATCACAGTAGGTGTTGGGGCAGATTTATTAGTTAAATTAGTTAAAAGTTCCTCCAACTCTGGTTTTATGATTATTATAAGTTTTGTTTGTTAATCCTTCTGTTACCAAACTAAAAGGTTGAGGTGGGGAAGTGGAAGGACGGGAGGGCGGCAGATGAAGCAAATTATCTAGTTTTCTATTCTTACATGCAAAGGCTAGATAGCTAATCACTTAGATAGTTCACTAGGGGTGGGGGGTCCCTTTCTAAATGAATGGTCATTCTTCTAGAATGAATAAACTACCAGGTAGTTAGATAAGAGGTTTTTTAACATTCCAAATTACCGAAAAGTTGAAACAGGCAGAGCTGCTTGATCTAATTTGTATTTTGTTTTTGTTTTTCCTTTTTCTAAATGTAGTTAATTCAACCACTGTTGGGTGAATAGCATTTTAAGGGAATGCTGATTCAATGTTGCTCTTGATTCTTTATTTGTATTTCTCTTATAGGTTTGGATCAATACCTCCGACATAATATTAGTTGGTCTACGAGACTACCAGGTAAAAAAAAAAAATAACATGTTTATGCACTTGCCAGATTTTGATGATCCATGCGCATTAGGAACATAAATCATAACCGTATTTTAGCAGTTCTGGCCCAGCATGCCCCTCACCATTTGATCAGCAAGTATTTCATAAGGCATTGTGCTAGGTAACCCGAGATTGTGGTTCCCAAATGCCAGTCTGTGGAGTTGCGTTTTCACTGTAGAAGAAATGCAGGCCATGTAAATTTTTCATGAAGCTAAATGGTTCTTCTTCCTTTTTTGATATTTAAATTATTATTATTTTTTATTTATTTATTTATTTATTTATTTATTTCCTTTTTAGCCCAGGCCAGAGTTTCTTCTAAGTAGTTAGAATGTTGGCTTATGGACCGAAGGGTCACATATTTGATTCCAAGTCAAGGGCATGTACCTGGGCTGCAGGTACAATTTCCAGCCCTGGTCAATGTGCATGCAGGAGGCACTCAATCCATGTGTCTCTCTCTCTCTAAAAATCAGTGGAAAATATATCCTCACATGAGGATTAACCCAAAAAAAAAAAAAGTTTCCTTTTTGGAATGAGATAGTGAATAGTAGTTAGCGTTCTTAGTTGGCAAAATAAAAATGTAATCTTACATTGGTCCTCCCACCTTTTTCGTTGTTGTTAATCCTCACACGAGGGTATTTTTTCCACTGATTTTTAGAGAAAGTGGGCGGGAGGGAGGGGGAAAAAAGAGAAACATCAATGTGAGAGACACATATCAATTGGTTACTTCTCCATGTACCCCAATGAGCCGGGGAATCTTGACCAGGAATTGAACCCGAGAACCTTCAGTGTGCAGGCCAATGCTCTACCACTGAACCACACGGCCAGGGCCCCACCCCAGTTTTAACTATACATCTTAAATTCAAAATCTGGAAAGAGTTACTCATGGGGCTACAGCTGAATAATTCATGCTGCCATCCCACAAGATGTGAACAGCCTGGTGATGGGAATAAGAAAAGCACACAGTTAATTACAGTATAAACCATGCTATACATGTGTACTCTAAATTTAGATCAGCACTTAGGTGAGAAGATTAGAGTTTGCCCTCGTGATCTCAACCTGGAGACACTGTGGGTCTGTGAAATCTATTTGGTTCTACCTGTTGGAACTTAACCCACTGTGTGTTAAATCACATTGTGAGTGATAAAATGTTTTTATTTTAAAAAATACATATATATATTCCAGAATAAAGAATTAAAATCTTTGCTTTAAATCAATGGTTCTCAACCCTGGATGATTTTTTTTTTTTTTTTTTTTTAATGTCCTGGGGCCATTTGGCAGTGTCTGGAGACATTTCTGGTTGTCACACCTGAGGGGAGGGGACAGTGCTGCTGGCATCTAGCGGGTAGAAACCATAGATGCTGTGAAACATCCCATAATGCACAGGACAGACCCTGTAACAGAGTTATCCAGCCAAAAATATCAGTATTGCTGAGGTTAAACAAGCTGCTTTAAATTCATACCACTTTAATGTCCGTTCTCTTCTTTTGATCTCAAAAATAACCCCAGAAGTAGGGATAATAGTTTCCTGTTTGAAGATAGGAAGCCAAGGTGCCAAAAGATAAAACATTCTGACTAGAAAGTAGCAGCCAAGACCAACTTTTCTGATTTTTCATTTCCCATGATCCTTCTCGGCCCCTGCCACTTCAAAGGTGGCCCAGGGACCAGTAGCGTCACTACTTTTGGGAACTTGTTAGAAATGTAGAAATGCTTGGACCCCTACCCCTACCCCAAGCCTCCTAAATCAGAATATGCGTGCTAACAAGATTCCCCCTGGGCTTCTGTACACATTACAGTTATGTAAGGTGCATAGATAAATTCATAGATTCACATCAACTAACCTATCTTGAGGAGGTGTGAAAGCTCCACAGGAGATTCTGATCACTTCTACCCTAAGAACCACTGGTACACAGAAAGTGTATTAATTTCCTTAGGTCATTATACCAATCTCAACTTTTGGAGTGTTTGTTTAATAACCCTATAAATTATGGTTCCAGGGAATTTTTGTATTTCAAAAGACTTCTAATCAAATCATTGCTTAGGGATAGCGTGACTTGACAAAAGATTCTGATTGCAAATAAATGTTTTCAAATTTGTTTAGGTAGTTGCCCAGAAGATGGTAATGTTAAATAATCCACAAGATTAGGTCTGCACAGTTCTGCTCTTATTAAAGTGAGATCTCTGAAGATCTTCTTAAGCTTGTTGATCATCATTCATTTATGCATGCCAGCTTCATACTTGGTAAACCCAAGGATGCTTTTCAGAGGATAGGAGAAAACCTAAATATTTTGCCATAATCTGTTATTTTTCTCTTTTCAAGGATAATAAAGCTGACGTAATTTTAAAATACAATGCTGATGAAGCGAGAAGTCTGAAGGCATATGGCGAGCTTCCGGAGCATGGTAATGTCTCAGTTAATATATTAACCTGTCATGTGCTATTACCTGGTCAGATCAAGGGAAGGGATTTGGGTAGATTTTTGTGGATTTTGCATACTTTTGTGCTTACATGATTTGTTTTAAGTCTGGACTACTTATACTTCATAATACTAGATACCTTAAGAAAATAACTGAGGTTCTGTTTCTAATAAATATACTTGTGGTGAGGAGTTATATACTTTATAAGCCCTGGATTTCTGCATTATACCAAAGGAAACATTTTGTTGAGTGTTTTAAAAGTCATTTCTCAACGAGACTGTTAGTGTTTGTCTAACTTTAAATGTGAAGCAAGGGTAGTAATTAGGCACTATTGTTGATTTTTATTAAAAAGGCAGTTTTCAATTTATTGTACCTAGTATCACAGAATCACACAGGGTTTTTTAAGCCAACATTCTTTATTTCCTCCTCCAGTACAAGAAAAATTATGCATTCTTAATGCGGAAAACTTAATTAAAACAAAAATAAGTCCCTCACATTCTTAATCAAAAGGGAAATGTACTTTATATACTATTTTGTAAGCCTGCATTTTACAATAATTTTGTATTATATCTTATATTTTGATGTATCTCCAAACCATTAGAATAATCACACATTTCTTAATTTTTGAACAGAATACTGTAGACCATGAAAATCCTGCTGAGATGAATTACTTAGCATTTCCAATCTAGGAAATGCTAATATATCTGGGAAGGGCTAGCATTTTCTGGTTCATTTTCATTGCTTAGGGATAGCATGATTTGACCAAAGATTCTGATTGAGAGTCTGATGATCGGTGAGTTATTAGGTTGTGCTCAAACCTTTTTTAAAGCACAGCTGGAAGTTGTGATAGTTTCAGAATTTGTGTCATTAGATCCTGCCTTACTAAAAATGTCTTTTTCAACTAGAGAAAATTATGACAAGTACATTCCATCTTAGTTACTTTGTTGGAGGTTTTGTTTTATCAAGTACTGTTCTGTATAATAGCATAGTTAAGTCAAAGTTGAGGTGTTTCTAATCAGAAAACTCATTTAATTATATTAAAAGTTTGAGTTGTAAGAGTCTCCTTTTATCTTTCAACATTTGATGTCAGACTGCTTTTAGTGGGCAATTATTCGTTTTAATAACATCTTGGTTATGTTATATGAGTACATTTATTTATTGTTTCTTTAGCTAAAATCAATGAAACGGATACATTTGGTCCTGGAGATGATGATGAAATCCAGTTTGATGACATTGGGGATGACGACGAAGACATTGATGATGTAAGTAGATGAGCCTCGGTTTTTTCAATGTTTGTGAGTTATCTACAGAGAAACCAGCTTCTTCCCCCCCCCACTTCCTCCAAGCTAAGAATGTTGGACACTTACATAAGGGTATATTTTGAGACTTGTCCATGAATTAAAGTACCGCATTTTTCGGACCATAAGACGCACCAGTTTTTAGAGAAGGGAAATGAAGAAAAAAAGATTCTGAAACAAATAGTGGCCATAAAATATTTTATGTGCATTAAAACCCAACATCACAGTCATAAACACATGTAATCAACCCTGTAAAGTAAACAGCAGCATTTAGAACCATTTTAGAGTCGGGCAAGCACACACAGACCACACAGAGCCGGGCAAGTAAAAAAACTTTTTTTTAAAAGTATATGTGTAGGCTATATTTGGACCATAAGACGCAGGGACTTTTTCCCCCCACTTCTGGGGGGGAAAAAGTGCGTCTTATGGTCCGAAAAATACGGTATTCAGTAGACAACTAATCAAACTGTTTATACGTTGAGAATTCATCTATTTTCAACATTTCTTCTGAGAAAGATCAATATTTGCTTTGGCAATAGAGAGAGGAGGGGTGGACTGGCTGAAAGAGGGTGAAGGGATTAGCAAAAGAACATATATGTATAAGCCATAGACACAGACAATGGTGTGGTGGTGGCCAGAGGGAAGAGGAGCAGGGAAGGTAGAAGTGGGCAAACTTTAAAAAAATAAAAAAACAACCCCAAAAAAAGAATGTCTAAAAGAATTTTAGTTGTAAGAAATATATATTTTTTTTTCAATATAGTTATTGATTTTTTTTTTTTTATAGAGAGGAAGGGAGAGAGATAGTTAGAAACATCAATGAGAAACATCGATCAGCTGTCTCCTGCACACCTCCCACTGGGGATGTGCCCGCAATCAAGGCACATGCCCTTGACTGGAATCGAACCTGGGACCTTTCAGTCCGCAGGCTGCCACTCTATCCACTGAGCCAAACCAGTTAGGGCAATAAATATAATATCTTACAAAAAAACCCATGTCTTCTCAATTGAAATACTGGTATGTTAAAAGGAGAATCTGGTGTGAACCAGCTTGATGATAAGCATTGAAATTACAACATGCATTAAAAGCTTTGATAAAATCAAGCCCTTTTGCCACCATAAGATGTTATCTGCTGGATATACACTATTGGCAATCCCTTGGTTTAGAGTTAGTGTGTTCATTTTGAGGAAAAAGTATTGTTTTTCCTAACTATAATAAAGTAGTGATGCTCATAAGAGTAAATGCCTCATTGCCCTTCTGGTCAAACAATTTGGGGCAATATAAATTTATTTAATAATTACTCAAATCTGGTTTGGGCTCTTCTTTTCAAGCCCCTTCAAATAAAAATGTAGATCAGAAACCACCTGTGAATATATAATTCTAAAAATAATACTAATGTTTGATTTGCTTTAAAGATGAAATTTTCATATGCCTAGAGCAGTTGTTCCTGACCAACAGAATTACCAGAGTTTTTCAAAAATAGGAAGACTGGTCTTGGGAAAGTCTGAGTTAGGCATCACTGAGATTCTACAATGAATATTTTCCTATAACTGATATATCACGTATATATGAATCTTTATTCATCAGTCCGTCTTATATTTGATGCATCTTCAGACCATTAGATGCATTTATGAATTTTTTAATCTATGGTATTATTGTACTAATGCTTTATTAACTTTAAAGCATACCCACCCTAAAATAGAAAATGAAAAAGGATAAGAAATAAATATAAATATATCATTATTTTTGTTTGTTTGTTTCACTCCTTTTGGAAACCTTGAGCTAGAGTACTCTTGTGACTAAACTGTTAGAGATACCTTGACAGTAGATTTATCTATTATATTCTGTGACAAGAACCTGCCATGGTTGTAGTGTAAGGGGTGACCCAAACATTTGGACAGCTAAGCTAGGGTGGAAGGCCTCTTCAGAAATTAAGAACCTAACTAGAGAACACGCCTGAATAGCAAGAGGTGATACAGAGTGATAGGTTGAGAATCTAGACAGGAGAAAGGTTTTCTAAGAAAGAAAAAAGTCTGAATTTCTGCCAATGCTTCCTCAGGACGGCCCAGGAGGCTGACAGGGGAAAGATAATCCAAACAGTGGTGATTAAGAGGCTTGGTGTTAAGCATTTGTAAGGGTGGCTTTGTCTATCACCTGAGAATCTTCTTCCCCAAGACATTTCTGTAGATAATTTATAAGTATTCAATCTTACATCCAGGTTGACTAGAAAGAGGAGAATTTGGTCAGTATCACACTTGTTCCTTTCTTTAAAAAATAATGCTCTGTTCGCACCCCCAAAATAAACTCGCTAGCACAGAAGGAAAGAGACACTACGCTTTATTAAGAATCTTCAGTATGGCCGAAACCGGTTTTGCTCAGTGGATAGAGCTTTGGCCTGCGGACAAAATGGTGGTCCCAGGTTCGATTCCGGTCAAGGGCATGTACCCTGGTTGTGGGCACATCCCCAGTAGGGGTTGTGCAAGAGGCAGCTGATCGATGTTTCTCATCGATGTTTTTAACTCTCTATTCCTCTTTCTTCCTCTCTGTAAAAAATCAATAAAATATATATTTTTTTAAAAAAGAATATTCAGTATGACATGTAGGAGGTTATAAAGATTTACCGGCAGCAGACCAGAATTGAGAAAAGCATGGGGTACAGGATTTCCTCTTCAGATCCGATTTGTTTCCCAGACAGCCTAAGGTTACGTGGTAGGCTGCTGCGATAGAAGAATCTGTTTTTCATTTGATCTGACGATCTTTTTTTCTTTCAGATCTAACTTGACCTCCACATTCTGCATTCCAACTTCTCTGAGGACTGTGCAACAATTTGGATTTCGGCTAAGGTTTATAAAAGAAGATTAAAAATTCCATTAATTTGAATGCAGTTGGGTTAAAGCACACTGATTTGTTTCTAAGGTGTTTCTTTAAAAACCGGTAGTGCTGAATTAAGTGAAATATTAAGCTCACTTTGTTCTTTGGGTATAACGGAACTTATGGGTAAAGGAGTACAGCTACTATTTTTGAAAAGGGGGAGAAAAAAACCTTTCCTATTTCGACCACTTCCAGTAAATAAATGGATGCTTTGAATACACCATTTGCCCTATACTTCCCAATTATAAGTAAGCCCTAGTTTTTACTGGCCTGTTGACTGTACAGTGGCTTTCTATATATTCCAGTTACCGACAAGTATCCTTGAGGTTTTGAACAAATTTAAGGGAAGCAGAAACCTGCATTTGAAATCAGAAATTATTTGGTTCGTTTTTCATATTTAAGTAGCATGTGGCTATTTTTATACTAATTTTGCTATTGCATACATTCTTTTCATAACCTTATTTTGTAACGATAAACATCGGCAAGAAAGCATTTCTAACATGCAGATATTAGAACCTGGGCTTTAATAGCAATTTGAATTTGTAAAGTTAGTAGTTGCAGAAATTGAACACTAGGTGGCACCCAGTTAACATTGGAAATACTGATGTGGTTGTAAATTTTTTTACACTTGCTGTGCATACGAAATATCCCAACCAATATTTTTTTGATCATGTGCATGTATGTTGAATATTTTTCCAGAACTAAAAGATTATTGTCATTTTATTTCAGAAGTCATATGTGCAAGCTACAGTTTTGAATGACTTACACACATGACTTGTGTATAAATGAAAATTTAATTTCATAACAACTTGTACAAATTAAGCCCTTTTCAAACGATCCCTAAGCCAGGGGAAGAGGTAGGAATAACAGCTTAATGAAAAGATAGTCTCCCATCTCTGAATGGAAGAGCTACAGTGGAGAATATAATAAAGACAATGTCATGCTGCACGGTGTATTATACACTTTGTGTTTAGGGTATATTTTATTGTGTGTACAGATTTTTTTTTTTTTTTTTTTTTTTTTTTTTTTTTGCTTGTATGATATTGGGACTTCAGATTCATCCTTTCTCATTCAGTTTTCCATGGCAACTAGTAAAATGAAATTAAAGGCTGGACTAGTTAGACCTCACTAGCTACACTGAATTCGTGTGCAACTTTAAAAGGAGAGATCCACCGTGTAGCATGTGATGCTTTTATTCTGCTGGTCTCCAGAGAACTTTGCTGCGATAAAAAGTAATGTAAAGGGGAAGAAACCTTCACATGACTTGCAAAAAAAACCCAAGTCTCTCATCAGTGTGCAAACTCTGGAATCAAAATCTGTGGATCTATAAAACATTGTGAAATGAAAGAATAGAAATTTTGAATGGACAGTTGTGGTTTGTGTTTCTTATTTGGCATTCTCAAATACTTGCCTAGTTAGACTGCATCTGAGCCCATGGGCTAGTTTTTAATATTTAAAAGGAACCAGCCTCTTAAGAATTGTCAGTAGTGAGTGTCTATCTCAGTAATCTAAACCTCCTAAGATATTTAGGCTTTTGTACATAAAGGTGTTTTGCTAAATTTGTGCTATATGGGAGGTGGGCAAAAGTAGGTTTACAGTTCATATGGGAAATAATAATAATAATGCAAGAATAAACTGTTTCATGTACTTACAACTGTAAACTACTTTGCCCACTCTGTATAGATCCTTCCACGTTATTTTACCAAGAATGTTTTAACTCTGTGTCTGTGATACAGTTCATAGTAGGGATGGTGTATCTCAAGTTTTTCTACTTACATCCTCAAATAAATATGATATATCTAAAGATTCTTTAAAAATTACAACGATGGCCCAAATCATGCATTTGCTAGTGATTTTTTTTCTTTTCTTTCTTGCCTTGGAAGTAACAACTCAATGTAGTGTTGCGTCCTTGAAAATCTGAAATCATAATACCCATAATTGAAATAATTGGTCTGAAATTGTAGATTATATCAACACTACTCGGAATTATTTTGTTAGTAATTTATCTTTCATGTGGAAATGAATTGTCCCATCAATATATTTCTAATTGGTCTGAAATTGTAGCTTATGTCAACACTACTCGGAATTATTTTATTAGTAACTTATCTTTCATGTGGAAATGAATTGTCCCATCGATATATTTCAACTGAGCAATGGAAGTGGTCCTTAAGAAAAGGTTTTTTTGTTGTTTGGTTATACTCTGATTTGTAAAGTACAATGCTAAAAAATGTGCTCTGAAAGAAAATAAAATGTTTGAAATCCAGATTATAGTCTTACTGTTAAGAGGTGTAATAGTTACTACTAACAAACTTGATAAGCTTGCATTTTTCATGTAGTGTTTATTCCACTTCCAGTTAGAGTATAAATATGCTGTATTACTTCAGTGGCTAAGTAACCAGACCAAGTATTTGTGTGAAAAAAGACTTGCTAAGATTTATTTGTTGAATCTTGAACCTCCAGCCTCTTAAAGAGAAACCCCCTCTTAAGGAGCCCGGAAACTATGCATGATGAAAATTCTTGCATTTTATTAAGGAATGCCCATCGGTTTACTCAACACATCATGGCTTCATGGCTGTACATTTAGTTGCTTACAAAACTCTTTGTGACTTGTTGTTAAACTTAGTCTCACATATCATGTAAATAATAAATTATAGGATGTTGAGTAACATCTTTAAATTGCTGTCTGTATTGACTAAAGAGCAACCGAGTAATCCATTAGGTAAAAGCATGTTTCAAATAAAACCTAGGCAGATTTATACTTTATTTGTATTATGTACAAATTTAACAGCATTCAGTATTCAGTGTGGCTTGACTGTTAAAGTATCAGAATGCAAGTGAGATTCTTTGTTACCTGCCTGTCCTAAAGATGAAAAAGATTTGTATCAGTGTGAGGTATTAAGATTTTTATCCTGCTTTGCAAGGGGAAGTTTCCTTTATTCTGTTTGGACTCCGTGAACTTTCACACTACCTGAAACTACCATCATTTTTATCCTTTTTTTTTTTTTCCATCCTATTCAGAAAAGTATACAATCAATTGTCTTACTGTAAGAGTGTATTGGACTATGTCCTCTCTCCTCCCCAGCTGCCAGGGGCCTAGGGGGCAGCGTGAGGGAGAGGGAAGAGCCTGGGCCCTGGAGTCAGACAGCCAGTGTCCCAAAGCCCGCTCTCCCTTTCCCTGCAGGTGACCACAGGCACTTTCCGCTTGTCTCCGCTTCAGGCTCCTCACCTGTAAGACGGGGGTGACAAGAACAGTACCTGCAGAGTCACAGAATTGCTGGGGATTAGTTTGTGTGTCCAGACATATAATGAACTTAGAGCTGTGTCCACTGCTTTTCATCCAATATCTAGGATTGTGTGAGAGAGAATATGTGTATCTCATATTCTCCATTTACCACTTATTTTACTTATAGTCTTTTTAGTCTTGGGTTCCTGTAATGAAAGAAGCATGTAGGTAGAATATATATTTGTATATTCATGTTGACACTTTAAAATCATTGCTACCACCTGGCCTGGGTGGTTCAGTCAGTGGTGGAACATCGGCCCATGAACCAAGAGGTCACCGTTGGATTCCTGGATTCCTGGTCGGCGCATATGCCCAGACTGCTGACTTAATCTTCAGTAGGGACTGTGCAGGAGGCAGCTGATCAATGTTTCTCTCTCAAATCAATAAAAACATTTAAAATAATTGCTACCATTCTTGCCCTGACTGGTTTGGCTCAATGGATGGAGCGTCGGCTTGGGGACTGAAGGGTCCCGGGTTCGATTCCGGTCAAGGGCATGTACCTTGGTTGCGGGCATATCCCCAGTAGGGGGTGTGCAAGAGGCAGCTGATCGATGACTCTCTCTCATCGATGTTTCTAGCTTTCTATCTCTCTCCCTTCCTCTCTGTACAAAATCAATAAAATATATTTAAAAAAATAAAAATAAAAAAAAAAAATAAAATAATTGCTACCATTCTTATTTAATTTATTATAAGACTTAACAGATGGAAGCCTCTAAATTGCTTGAAGATGTTTTGCAAAATACCAACTGCTCTGTATTTCTTGAGAAAGTTTATAGTAATAGTGATAGCTCTGGTTATGTTTTTTTTTTTAAGTCTTCAGTGAGTCCTTTTACATCCTTTTATAGATTCATGAAATCTAATTAGTATTGACTGATTCGGAGGGGTTTTTTTCCATGTGGAATTATGTAAAAAAAAAAATTAGATGCAAAGTAATGCAATTGGAAAATAAAATGAGATCATTTGCAACACTGCAATCGATTCAAGATTTGTGACATTTTTAACTAAAACTTACTTGTGATTCTTTTATGAGATTTTTATTTTTTTAAAATAGTATGATATATTAGGGGAAATGTGTTTTTTATTTGTTTCTGCTTATTTGATTTGGCTGAATCCATTCAATGAGACTTCATATACCGGGCTGTATTTTCTGTGTGAGTGAAGTGGTTACACACCTGTGCCGAAGGTGACATTTTCTAATGTCAAATCAATTGTCCAGAATGACCTTAAATTTTCAAAATCATATTCAACGGACCTTATTTTGCACTATGCAAAAGTATATAGGTGAAATAGATAGTTATTAACTTGCTCATTTTTAAAAAGCCAGTCTTTTCTGTGCCAGTCCCGGCTTGATATATAATGGCAGATCAGAAAGTGGGGACAGAATCTAAGTGAAATCCTATTGCTGATTTGATTGGATTGGATTTTTTGCAAACGATACAGTCCGGTACATAGTTTATGATATTAAATCTTAGAAATCGAAGAATAATTAGAATTTTTTAATAAAGATTATCAAAAGCAAACACGATTTTTTAAGTGAATTTTACCTAGCTGTTCCTGCAAAGCAATAAAAACAATCTCATTAAATCCAGCTCTTGAGTGCACATCTTTTTAATATTTCATGTGATAAAACAGGAAGTGCTACATACAGCACTTCTCATCCTGGGAAGTACGGTTGTCTCAAGGAAAAACGTGTGTGACTATTTCTATTGCAAACTAAACTAGCCACTGCTGCTCACGGAACACCACTTTTACTTGAATTGACTGGTTTTTCAAACTTGGTTTGAAGAAAACATTTTCTCACAAGCGAATAAAATAAGCCCATCACTTGAAGGAATACAACTGACATCATTTGTTGGAAGTGATAAAATTTGAGCTTTCAAGTGAAAATTAGAACTTTGGAAACTAGTGCCTGCTACCATTAGCTTGACAACCTCAGTGAAGTCTTCTGAAAAGAACAGTGATGGTATTAACAAATGTGACTTTTTAAATATTGTAGAATGAAATGTGTTGACATTTGGAAGTTCATGGATTAGCCATTATTTTCTCAACGATCAGTGGGGTTTAATTATAATAGTATGAAAAGATGATTGATTCAGTGTTAGGTCCCACATTGCAAGTAAACTATGAAATTATCATTTGTTAAGGTTAAATATAATATGGAAGAACATACACAGATCTGAAAAGGCTATTCAAATATTTTTCTCATCTTCCAACCACATACCTCTGAGGCCAGATTTTTCTGTCAATAAAAAAATTATGAAATTTTTTTTAAGATTTTCTGACACATCCCTATTTCAGAGATACAGCACACAAGTGAACTAGTCATTGCAAGGACCACTGTCAGTGTTGCCAATACTACAATCATACTTTCAAGTAAAAACTACACTTTTGGAAAACTTAGCACCCACTACCCTGTTTCCCCGGAAATAAGACTGTCATATTAATTTTTTCTCCCAAAGTTGCACTAGGTCTTATTTTCAGGGGATGTCTTATCTTTCGATGCACTAGGTCTTATTTTTGGAGGATGTCTTTTCGGAGAAACATGGTATTAACGTAAAAGTTGCTTGGGAGTTTCAATTTTCGGTGTAACGTAGAGGTTGGTGAACTTTCTAAAGGACCAGACACTATATATTTTAGGTTTTGTAGGCCATGTCTGTTACAACGCCATTCTGCCATTGTACCGCAAAAGCAGCTGTGGACAACATGTAAGCAAGTGCGTGTGGTCATATTCCAATAACAGAAGTAGGTGGCAGGCTTCATTTGCCCACAGGCCTATTTCCAACCCCTGCTGTGAAGGTGTTCTGAGACAAAACGTTTAGAACTACTGCACTGCACTAACGACGAGAACAGATTGAACAAAATAAACTGATGAATAAAATGGGTCCAGGCCTGATGGGTTTGGCCCAGTGGATGAAGCATCGGTCTGTGGACTGAAAGGTCCCAGGTTCGATTCCGGTCAAGGGCGTGTATGTAGGTTTAGGCTACATCCCCAGTGGTAGGTGTGCAGGAGGCAGCTGATCGATGTTTCTAACTTTATCCCTCTCTCTTCCTCTCTAAAAAGAAATCAATAAAATATTTTTTTAAAAAAAGAATTATGTAGAATACTGTAAACTCCTGGACATCAACAGAAAAAGACAAAAAGCCCAATAGAAAATTTGGCAAGTTTGAATAGGCAATTTTCAGAAAAGTAAACCAGAATGAATGGCTAACCTATTTTTTTTTTATATAGATTTTTGTATACAGTCGCAATGGATAGATGTTGAAAGCAATTCCAAGCAAGGAAAAACAAACAGAATCATAACTATTGTGCAATACCATTTATATAAATTAAAGCCATGCA